TCCTGGAGTGGGGAAAAGGCAGACAGGCTGCACAGTGTGGCCTGCAGAGCCCTGGGATCCACAGACTCGCTGGAAGGCATTCCCAGCACTGGGCTCACACCGTCAGCTGAGCTGCATTGTGTGGCCTGAGCCACAACATTCTGGGTGTGCTCAGAAGAAAACAGATAAGGGCAAATTTACTTACAGCCCTGGAGGTACTAACAAACCCTGACGAGCACCAAGAGCCTGAAACGGCGCAGAATTGTCTGAGTATCCCAGCGTGTATTCGAAGGTCAGCTTCCCAAATATACTCAAGCAAAACCAGAAGCTTTCTGCAGACACTTTTTCCTTTGTTGGAACATCTGGATCTTCTGTGCAACAAGACCTACAATCAGAAATCCTTTTCGAAGACTGCTTTGAATTGAAACAAGTACCTCATAGCCCAGAAACTCCATGTGTGACCTTATGGTTTGGAGATCTGGAAACTTGCCAGGGTTCAGGGTACAGAAATGACCCACTGGAAACAAGACATCAAACAAAAACAAAGATAATTAGAGTGCTGGTCACTGCAGCTTCTGGAAACCAAAGGCAGGCATTTGGTCCCCTCATAATCTCCCAATACTGTAGCCTTCCACTCCATCCCCCTTTTACCATCCCCTGTGCTCCCCATTCTTCACTCTTGACAGAGGCTCATTGTGCCTTCTCAATGTAATGTCCCACTCTCTCCCCATCTCCAGGTCCTCCCTTCCTTGCTCACTCATATGAAGGCTTCCTTCAACCCTTCCCCTCCATTAATGGGTTCTGCTTTGTTCTTCCTCCCCATTATCTGTTTCCTCTCCACATCCCTAATTGCTTTTCCACAKTCACTTCCAGTCCCGTTTATCACCATGATTCCTGCTTTTCTCCACAGTACTGTTTCTATCTGTCTCCACATGGTCGTCAGATTTACTGCCACCATTTATCCTTACWTTGCTTTCTTTTCACCTATCATTCATCCCATCTCTGTTCCCAGCTGTAGTCCTGGAAGGCTTATGAGGTTCTCAGAATTCTAGAATTAATGAGGTGCAGTAGTCCACAGTCACTATTCAGTCATAAACAACCAAAGAAATAATGAGATAAGGGAACAGCATTGTTTCTGCAAAAATTAATCACAACTCTTCTTAACCCTGCTCTTCTCTMGATAGAAATGATCTTGAACAGACAAAACCAATGTTCCTTATTTCACTCTCTTTGTCTTGACAGTGATCTCCTGMTTTATTTTCTGTGAACAGAGCTGCATCAATTCTCTATTTTCCCACAGTCAAAAATTAACTCCTTACTAAGAGGGCTTGAAAACCAGACTGTATTAATTGAAAATTTAATGCTTGGTCATCTCAGTCTCTTTGTCCTCATTTAAAATGCAGTCAGTGCCCCTGCACTTCAGCCCACTTGCCACATGGGCTCTCTAACCTGCARGGCCACCTGTGCTCAGGTTCAGAGGCCTGGATCCTTTTGACCCCAGTGGGAGAGCAGCAACTCATCAAAGCACACATTTGACAAAATGTTCTTTCCTAAAATCTGTCAGCAAAGATGCACTCTGGATCTAATAAATACCCAGTGCAGGGACAGAATCTCCCCTTTTGCTTGGAATTTGATTTATCCATGTCTTTTTTCTAAAGTAACTGAGCATCTCGTTTGCCTCCATATACCTGCTGTGCATTGAGCTGCTGGAGCCCATGATTTGCCCACAATTACACTCTTGCTTTTTCCTARTTGGTGTAAAGGCTGTTCCATTCGACACATGTCTTTCCACAGTTGCTGGTAGGTAACTTATTTAATAGATCTCCTCATTGCACAGAATTTAACATATTCTAGTTTATTCATCCAGATGAATCCGGTGACATTTAACTTCCCTGTTATTTCTTATCACATTTTACTGGGGTAGTCAGGCAAGGGCATCTGCTTAGTGGTGGCTTTGCTGAAGACTTTTTCAATGAAGACCCAACAGTTCACTCATCCTGTTCAAACATTTCTCTCTCTCTCACTTTACTTTGCACGTCTTGTTCTTTCTGCTGGTGTGCCATAAATATTGACAATCTCCCAATCCACCAATGGGACTTGGAGTAACTTTTGACACAGCATCTTTAGAGAACTTTCTGAAAAAAAATAAATATTCAGCAATCCACACATGAGTGTCCTGTCTTTCACACTATAATATCTCATCAGTGGCTAAACCAGGTCCATCCCAGCCACTGTGGAGCAAACCACGAAGTGCCACATGTACAAACTCATGAGCTACTGGTCCACAAGTAAAACTAAACCAAACCAAACCTTTCTGCAAAAAGTACAACAGTCAGTGCAATCCACTTAATCAGGTCATATACAACATACACAAAACTATGCAACATCCCAGGTACTCAGAAAAATTAAATAACTAAAAATAAATAAACTCTTCCATGTGCAAACTAGAAAGTATCTTGCAGTTCTGACTTCATAAAACTGAGCATTTATTGTGTTCTGTGGTTCTAATTTGTTTTCAGATTAAGTACTTTAAAGTTGGGTATTTTTTTAGGTGTTACTTCTGTATTCAAGATCTTTCTTTTATTTTTTATTTTAGGGATTTTGTAAAAGCTTTTATTCAGTTTAAGAAGCCAATTGTGGTTGCTATCAACGGCCCTGCTCTGGGGTTAGGAGCTTCTATTTTACCACTCTGTGATATCGTTTGGGCAAGTGAGAAGGCTTGGTTTCAGACACCATATGCAACAATCCGACTCACTCCAGCTGGCTGCTCATCATACACATTCCCACAAATTCTGGGTGTTGCACTGGTAAGGTTTTCCACCTCAAATTACTGAAGAGCCTTTCATAAACTCCTGTTCTTCTTTCTCTCTTTAAAAAATAAACAATTTTCTTAATTGTTTTTAATGGCAATGAAATCTCCGTAAGGTTCATCTAACCACTATGAATGTCTTATACAAAAGAACCTCAGAATTCAATATATAACACCTGCTGTACACAAAAAAGATTAGACACAGGTTGAAAAAGCAAAGATTGTCAATGTCATGGTAGAAAAGTGAAGACATACATTAACAGAATAACCTTGCAGAGTAGCTGTCTGCGTTGTGTTAGGAGTGGGCAGTAACACAGCCAGATAGAGCTCTCTGATCTTCAAAGATAATCCACAATGATTCCAGTAAGACTGGAATGGTCTTTTACCAGTATAATAAAACAGAATGTGCCCCACAAACATTTCCTACTGGGATCCATGACTCTCRACACAGTATCACTGACAGTTACTCTTGTAAGATCAGCAATACAGATTCACCATGCATGCCAGCACATTTCTCTTAAATGAAACCCATGCTGTGCTCTGGCCACCTGCACAATCCTTAAATAGCTACTGAAACTCCTTTTAAAGTATTTTGCAGTATGGAAAGATACAGAAGAACATTTGTAATTTAATCGTAAAAATAGCAGGGAAGTATGAGGAAAATTTTCAGGGAATGATAACCCAAGATTACCAGAATCTTTTGGTTTCACAGGCAAATGAAATGTTGTTCTGTGGGAGAAAGCTGACAGCACAGGAAGCCTGCAGCAGAGGACTGGTGTCACAAGTATTTTGGCCAACAACATTTAGCCAAGAAGTGATGCTACGAGTGAAAGAAATGGCATCCTGYAGTGCAGTGGTAAGAATCAAACTCCTTCATTAAATGACATTTCACAGCAGTAAGGTGTACTCGCAAGGCTTATCACATGTGGGCCCTCACTTCCACAACCATACCTGTGAAAGAAGGCTGACATCAGAAAACCTGGAAGGAGATCAGTGAGCTTATAGGGTTTCTCATTTTTCAGGGAYTGGGTGGGTTATTTCCTGTCCCCAYCTTTGCATTTATTCAATWTGAGTGGCACCTCCTTGCCCCAGATTTTGAAAGGGGATTTTAGTACAGTTTCCTTCATGAAGGTGTAASAGTGTGAAACTATACAACTGTACTGGGAAACCTCTGCAGCCCCTTAAGAAAACAGATTTGCCTTTCACTTTGTCCTGGCCTACCATATTTCAGCTGAGTCTGGCTCTTTTTTCTGCACCTGCACAGTTCCTGCTGCTGCAAAATGTTCAGCACAGCACCCCAGAAGGGTAGGATAGTGCCAGCTAAGCTCTGCTGTGAAGGAGAGGTGAGATCCAGACAAGAGGCATTTGAACACAGTCTGGTCACAGAGTATTATAACTTTCCATTTGTGTACACAAAAGTTGAAAGAAAATCCTTTCCTATCTTTAATTCCTAAGGTTTTTTTTTCCCTTCAGGCAGATATACTCCTATTCTGGGCACATCCTTGTTTAAAAAACATGCGGTGAAGGATGTGATACTGGCTGTAATAAAACTGCAGTAATTGAAGTGAAAATTGTTATGGTTTCTTGCTATATTTCCTATGCCTGAAACTGTCTCAGCATCCCTCAGTTTCATTTAAAAGATCTGTTATAAAAGAAGGTAGAGACACAAGAGATTTTTAATTAAACGAAGTGTAGATTAGATCTCACAGAAGACATTGGGAAGGAAACTCTCTAGATATGTAGCAGAATTTTATTTGATGATGCTGATATTATGTGTATTATTTGAGTTGGCAAAACTTCTGAGCCTTATTGTGAATTCTTCCTTCTTTCACTGTTAYTGGCTGTCAATGAAATTTTCTCGAGATCCCTTAGGAAGATGGGTGCTGACTTGTGGACAAAGAGTTTAATCTTTCAAAGACATATTCACAAACAGACAACAAAAAATACACAGGCCCCTTGATTTGCTATTAACACCATCTACTTGAGTTAAAGACAAATACTATTTTGTAATGGCAGTGTGGAAACGTACAACAGGTAGGAACTGGGCTTAACATGAAGGTGTTGWCAAAGCTGACTGAAGAGAATGCACCCCTCTTTCCCCAGAACACTGTATTWGTTATATTAAATCTCCTCCTCAGAAGAAACAGTAATGTTTCCTCAGAAAATCACTAATGTACAAATTATTAATGTGTTTGTTTTATAAGCTTATACTGGTGTTGATTTCAGAAGAAATTTTAAAGGAATCAATCTAATGTGCCTAGAAATGGGTCGGGAAAAATGAGCTGAACTATGGGAGCAACCATACACCTGCAATTTGTGTCTTTCAGAACTTGCTACAATTACTAAGGGTTTGAGATTGGGCTTTCTATTGCAAAAATCTGTGGTTATTTGTTGTATCTGCTAAGTAAATCTGACTCCAGAACACAGTCACAGGRTGCTTGTTTTGCACAGCATTGTTCTTTTATAAAATATTTCACTTCTATAAAAATGTAAATAAATAGACTTTAAAAAGGGACCTGCARTAAAGACCTTTTCCTGTTAATTTCTGTTTTGATAAAGAAAAAAATACATGAGGGAAAATTGTTAAAGATGATCCACATTTGGGATTCCATGTCTAACCTTAAAGGCCACCTTCCAGAAAACAGGTAGCCAGTATATTGTCCCTCACACATTTTCATTTCAGTGTGAGGGAGTTCAGCTCCTTCTTGTGCTCATRGCAGACTTTCAATAAACTAAGGTACTTCAGAATCCCTCATTCTTTTAAAAACTTGGCACTAACCCATCAACCTCAATTCTTAAAGATGCTGACTATCAGCAAATGCAGTTGTGGCTATAAATCAAATGCAATTTCTGTGCCCAAAGGAGTTATTTAGACTGTAAAACAGTGTCAGTAGTCTAAAAATGCTGGTCACGCCATTATGCATAGTAATCTTTTCAGATTCAAAATAAAATACTGAATCATATTTTGGCTTTAGGTATTGGAAGAGTCCAAATGTCTCGTGCGGAGCTTCCTGAAATCCGGACTTGAAGATGTGAACGAGAAAGAATGTCAGATGTTAAAACAGCTGTGGAGCTCTTCCAAAGGACTGGATTCACTATTCAGCTACTTGCAAGACAAAATTTATGAAGTCTGATGTCTTGGCCTAACTTAAAGAGAAATCTCTCCAGTTGTGACCAGAGTCAGACATGACCGTGTTTGAGAAGCAGAGGCAATGCATCAGTGAGGAATTAGTGACAGTGATCCCAATGCCTGTGGCTGTGTGGATTTCCTGCACAGCCACTTGTAGCTGGTTTGATTTTGTGTAACCAAGWCGTGGGCAGGCGTTCAGTGCACGTAACCTGTGCAGAGGCTGCATCTTTCACATTGCTCATCCACATCCAACTCTACATTCCATGTGCTGAGAAGCACCACTGAGACCCAGCAAGGCTCACCCACCTGTAAGAGTTTATTTTGTCTGTCCTTCTTAACTTATTCTTGCTGTTGCAGCACATCTGGGCTGACACAGAAGGCTCAGTCTAAAATCCGGGTCAGCAGAACCTTTCGTAGACCCAAAAATCATACGTTGGAAATATGTTAATTATTTTTTTCTAAGTTCTAACAGTTTAATGGAAAAATCTGATAATTTATATGTATAATATGTAAAGTTAGTTTACAAAAACTACTAGATTTTTTTTTCTTTGTTGAAATTTATTTAACTTATTTATTTTGTGTTCATATTCAGCTGTTTATTGATCACAGATCTTATTTTCATATTTCCCTTGACTGAATTAATGGCATCACATGAGAATGCAAACACATTTTTAGCAGCAAACTGAGTAGAAAAATAAAGAATATATAGAAAACCCACAGAATGTTGTGGGCAGTAAATTAAACAGCCACGTGCATGCTCCTCTATGTGTAAAATTGTACAAAAAAAAAAAAAGTATGAAACAGATTCATTTGCCAGGGTTAAGAGAAAAAAGTGGATTCTGACAGAGTGAGTCCCCCTTAAGTCTCTCTCCACTTTCTGCCTTCTTGAGGAGCACTGAAGGGCTCGCCAACCAGATGCTTTATTTAAGTTTACTATATTCCTGTTAGCCGGATATCAGTAACAGGGTGAATGGTGCCGTTCCGTGGCATCGTACTGTTTTTCAGGTTTAAACACCCCTTTTGGTCTGAAGTCTAAAAGCAAATCCTTATGAGCCTTAGTCTAGTTGCCTGATTCCTCAGGTGTGAGATAATTTCTGCTCTGGAGGCCTTTGGGTGTGGGCCAGCAGTTTATACAAGGTGCTAGGCATTGAACTAAGTGGAGGCAGAGGTTTTGTGTTGCTTTTCCCAGCTCTCCACATCTGGCCACCCCACCACCTGTTACAAGAACTTATGGCTATCCATAAAAGCAGTCCCCAATAAAGAAGGAAAATCCAATCTGCTCTTTCCGAATGTGACCCCAGTACTGTCCAGTGACACGGACTGACTTCTGAACACTGGATCTTCTCTCAGTCCTTTCCTGCTATGGGCAGCTCATGTGGAAATGACAGGAGCGTGCTCTGAGACTTCACCTGCCATTATAGTGTGCCCAAATTGAAACCTCTTGAAGCAGAAGCTTTGCACATTTGTTTGCTTTGTAATTTGTGCACTTGCTCTCCATCCTTGAGCTCAGTGACTTATTATGGTTTAAACCTCTGCAAATGAGGCTGCTCAGCTTTCTCCCTCTTAGTATTTCCATAAAGAGTTTCAACAAAGCCTTTGTAAAGTTAACGAACAGGTGATTACAGTAAACAGTAGCCTTCAACACATTTCTTTTTCCGCAAATAATTASAAGTGCTGTTTTTATGTCCTAATTGTACCACTGAATTTTAAGGAAATCATTACCCTAAATTCAGAAGTTCTCATGGAAATTCTCCATGTAAAAGACAGAATCTGGTTTCTAATTAGCCTGAATAAAATGTTTTTTCAAAGAAACTTATAGAAATCATTAGCTTATTTTAAAATAACTGAAAGACAACTCTTTCAGTAACTATTTGAAGCGATGGATGCACCACTTGTTTTATAGCAATCCTTGCTTTTGTCCACAACCTGCCAGCARTGCTGCAGGGTGTGTTGGATCAAGGCCCCAGGCCCCCAGCCTGGCAGGTGCACATGGAGTCACCTGRAAAAAGAGGGATCCCCCAAGTGAAAACCACTCACACCTTCAGAAAAAAGAAAAAAAAAGGCAATGGAAAGTACCACGATTCCTCAATTTCCTTTATTCCCATCCAGAGAGCCATAACTCCTAGTCATGTGTTAATAAGATATTAGGAAGTTTATTTCACTACTATGCTTAGTTTTTGTAGATAAATATAGCAAGATTGCTCAGCAATGTGAAGGAATGCGTTCCGAATGAGATTTGCAAACAGAGAAGACTCTTATGTTGTTGGATCTTTTAAACTACACCATTTCATCTGAATTTTCAGATATCTGTATCTTAGCATTTTTTATGACAAAGGAATGGTTGAAATACATTTTCTATAATTATTTTTCCATTAAAGCAAGCGCTAACCATAGTTAACATTTTTAATTATTCATATCTATACAGTTACAATCTAGTTTTCATGGAATCTATTTTCCCTTCAGAAAAGAGTAGTAACAATGTTGAAAGCTTCTTTTCCAGTATTTAAATATCAGAATATGAATTTTCTCTTGTGTTTCTATCCTTACTAGGTATTCAGATATCTAGATGTACTGTACATATTAGTCTGGGTACCTTTACTAATATTCACAGTATTTAAGATTAAAAATGCAATTTGTTGTTTAAGTATGTTATTTTATTCTTGTGTAAATTGTTTTGTACAATCTTTAAAAATCTACAGTTTTGCATTTGTAGATATTAAAGGTAAGCAATTTATTTTGTGTTGTCCTGCATGTATATTTTTGCTGTAGATAAGTGTTGCTTAGTTTACTATTTCAGTACATTTCTGTTAAATAAATAAGCTTACAAACTTTAATACAGTATATATTTTCAAAATATAAACTTTTATATTTCTGTGGTAGGTTAGGGTATGCGTTTTAGGCAATCTTTTTCACTACTATGAACTGTTCTTTTAATCTATAATATAATGGTTTTGTGCCAATAGTTTTTCATTAGAATGAAATGCTCTTTTAATGTTAGGGATGAACTGACAATTTTGGTTGGGGTTTGTTTTATTTTTGGTTTTGGGTTTTTTAATTATTTTGCCAGCCTTTACAGTTTTAAATATAATTTATAAATGTATTGCATTTGTGAATAAGCCTTACCATTAGGTACAAGAAATCTTTAAAGCTGCATAATTGCTTATGTAGCACTAAGGACTTCCCCAAATAATTGCTGTAAGAAAGTTAGCAAATCAGAGTACAGGGCCTTAAGTTTTTCTTGTGAAAAGGATAATACGGGTTGTTTCTTTTGAACAACATAGGTAGACTTGTCAGCATGGGCTTTGTTATATATAAACTGTGCATTTGTGCTCCCAACCATGGTAGTTTAATCTCAGGCTTTGTGTGGCTGGGTCTATAAAAGTCAAATCTGGCTAAAGCCAGCACTCTTTAGGCAACACTAAAGAAGTTTACATAAGAGACTTATAGACAATCTTATCATAGTACATTTGGGTACTCKGTATCCTCGATGTGTTAGCTGTGTCTGCCCAATTAACCGTATGTTTTAAGCCATATTAAATCTCTTTACTGCTATTTTAAATACTACACTGAAAGTCATTCACTAGCTTGCTTGCTCACAGACAGGATTTCGATTTTTAGTGAATAAAAATATTATGCCTTCCATAAAAACAAAGGACCAAAGARTTGCATTCTTCTAACAAAGCATTAGTTCCTTTGCCAGTGAACTAGTTTGACATTTGTACCGAAGATCAGATAGTTTCTTTCTGCTTCAAACACTGCGTTCTCATCCATGTAAGGTGGAAGGGGGAAAGATGTATCCACTGAGTTATTGGGAAAGGAGTGATGTTCAGCTGGGATGGCATGTCTATTGGTAAGGCTTATTACCAAACCTCTGAGATGAAGCAAAGAACCAAAAATTCACAAGTTATGTCAATGTAAATTTATTTTCAGAACTTGCACAAATAGTTAATTGTAGAACTTTGCAAATTAGGCCCTTAAGTTATTTTRTCAGAATGCCATGGAACAGACTAAAACAGTTTCTAATATTTGTAACAATGAGTACATATTATAATATTATAAGGGTACAGGCACCCCTATATCACAGTGTTGTAAATATTTTCTGAAACTGGTACAGTACTGAGGGACTTGTATCTTCTGATATATCAAATATTGACTGTCTAGATCAAATTGTACACAATTTATTTGTTGATGGTCCTGTAACTAGTGTATGGACACATTTCTGGGTGCCTTAGAAGTTGTATTTTTCATGTGTGTTAATATGCAGTATTTATACATTGTGAGAAGCTGCTTTGAATAAAAACATTGAAACTTCACTTCAATGCAGTGATTTTCAGTTTTACRTAATCAGAATGAATGTGATATGTGGTAGCTATTATATTTGATAATGCTGTTCATGGGCTCCTGCTTTTCCAAAGAGACCAGGCACACAGCAGGCTTTTCAAAAAAATTCTTTTTCCAAGTGGCAAAACCCAGGCCGCTAAGACACACTGCARTAAGAACTCTCTGAAACCAATTATGATCCATTTCATTTACCATTCCTTRATCAAATAAAAATAAAATAAAATRAAAAYACCAAGAACAGTCTCCCAAAAGCACTTTTAGGACACCTTYRCCATTGTTCTCACTTCCACTATTTGATATTTGCACATCACCTAAAGCATTCCTGCCCAGAACCAGCAGCTCCATGCAGGATTTCAGCTGCACATGAGGGAATTTGATTTTGAAGTGGTGGCCAGAGGGGCCAATATTTAGCCCAGACACAGCCTGGTGCWGGAGAAGGTGGATCAGCCTGCAGTCCCTCTGCATGGTTCCAGAAYATTCCTGCCAGGGGCTCTTATGTACCAGGGGATCCTTTGTCCATATCATCCACAAATGCTGTTTCCAATCATGTATCTCCCATGATTAGAAGAGTAACTGTAAATTACTTCTGCCCGGGGCAGAAAAGGAARGATATTTTTACAGAGAGCCAGGGTTAGCCAACCCAGCTATACAACAAGGTCTGAAAAAATGACCTACACTTCACTCAAAGGAAACAATTATGTTCTAGAAATTAKATTGGTTGGCTTTAAACTGACAGACACTGTTAGTAAAAACCATGGGCAGCTATTTGGAGCAGAGGATTGAGCAATTTAGTCTTGCWTCACTATCAACAAATCCAATTATTTATTACAGTGACTCTTGTCAGGAATTAACTTATTGTAGTTTCTACTGGACTGTGAGCAGTGTGCACATGATGAACAGTGTGTGACACCATTACTGTCTAACAGATTTACTGGAAAGTTTGGGTATTAACATAGATTGTCAACATGTGAATTCTATTTTAAATAACTCATTTTTCAAAGAAAGCAAAAGTTCTTTAAAATTAAAAACCCCATCCAAATATTTGGGGAGTTCAAAGCCATTTCAAATGTCAGTCCTTCTTGCAGCAAATTAATATACAAATTACATGGAAAAGGAACCTCTTAAGTAGATATAAAGAGGTAATTGCATATATAAAAGAACAGGAAGGTAATAATCCTAATTAAGGTATAAAAACAGGTCAGAGCTCTACATACACTTAGAGGTGCCACTTCTCATTATGAAAAAAGAGAAACAATATTGCATATGGCAAGAACAAGGAGAGGTTCTGAAAGAAATGAACAGCAAATGAAAGCACGGGGGAAAAAAAAAAACAAGACACAATTTTAAACACTGGGGGGTTCAAAGCAAATCAGTTGTCAGAAGTTGAACTAGGGATGGTTTGGTCATGAAAGAAAAAGTCAGGGTGAGGTTCTGGACATAGTAACTTCTGGAATYTGCCTCTCCTTGGATGTCTTATTTGTCACAAAACCTCCCCAGAAGTAAAATTTAATCAAACATAATGCACCTCTTCACAACTCTGACTTARCCTCAAAACCAATCTCTAGTCATAGCATGGAGAGTTTCAGATTACTAAGAAAGCCAGCYTAACAGCCCCCTCTAGAATTCAAACTGTTTGAACTGTGTTAGCACCACTTTGCTTTAATGATAYGCTTTCCTTGGTTTTAAAAATTTGCTCATTACAGATATTTAATAAAAACAGAACTGTTAAGAACTTGGTTAAATTCCAATTATTAAACCTGTCTGGTTTGATCCAGTAATTTTCATTTTTAACAGCCAAGAGTAAGAAAAGTAGGGGAGAAAGAAGGCAATTTTCATTTTGAGAAAAAAACATTTTGGATTTACTAACTTTAAAAATTCTGTTTTAAATTTTATCACCTTTCCCTATCACTTCCTGACMCTGCTGGTACTTGAACAAACCCCATGGATCTAAGTGAAAAGCCACCAGCATAAATGGARATCCTCCTCCTGACTTCATTTGCTTCTAGAGAAACCCCAGTGGCTGACAGATAACACAACAAACTCCTTCATGGTCATCGTACAGGAATAGCTTGTAGCCATCTCTTCAAATGATAATGTGCTTTGATGAGAAATACATAATTAGCATTGGAGGAAGGGTTCCATTAGTTCAAAATTTAACAGCAGTGTGTAAGAAATTTTGTACAYATTTCAACATTTTCAATGTTATTGCTGAGCCCTGTTAAAAGAAAGTCATGCCCTGCTGTGCTTGAACCTTCCTCAGTTCTTCAGTCACATTTATCAACTTGGATTCTGGATGACTGTGTAACACAACATCTGTGAAACTGATTTTATACATTGGTCATAGACAGAAACATATTGGTGAACACCTGTAAAGAGAAAAGTGAAAATCCTCTTTGCAACCAGGAGTGATGATTGAAATGTGGGCTCCTGAACTGTTGCTGCTTCCTAAGCTGTGAAATAAAAAGCTGMATCTAACACTGGAGTTTCTAGAATGAAAAATTATTTAAACACTAAGCAGCAATCTTGACTTGTTAGAACTGAGTTAATTACTATCATCTAGAAATAAGTTATTCACAGTCATCCAGAAATGTGTTTCTGATGTGTCTGTGTAAATAACTACTACACTATCTATTACTCCAAAAAGATCAGCAATTTCCTACTGCTGTCCTTCTAGACACCTGTTACTCTGTATGCTGCCACCAGGCTCTGAGGTATTCACTTTCATTAAGTGAATACAGGAATTCACATAAAACTCTTCCCATTATTCAAGATCTGCATTCTTTTAACCTCACACTTGCTTATTCTGCATGCAGCTGCAGCAACTTTGTCAGGGGCTCAGACTCAGGCAAACAATTCCCTTCAGGTCTACTTTTTGCCCATTAGACTCAAAATGAGCCGGGCCACACTCCTGCTGGCTGCACTGCCAAGGGATGCTCCTGTTCCAAGGGCAAAGGTGAGATGAGCAGCATCCCACTGCTTGGAGTGTGGGGTCCAGAGCTGGTGATTGCTTGACCAGAATCCTCCCTTTATTTCTGAGAGCAAGCCCCAGATTGGTGTTTTTAACACCCATCTCATCCCTAGCACCTGCCTTCATCAGACCAGAAAAAACAGCAATTTTTTTTTTCATGTATTTACATGTAGCAGGATGTAGCAGACTTATTTTCCTGGATGCTAATGTGATGCCAGTTGGAAAGGAATATCCCAAAGCACATTAGACCTGGTAGGATTCATCCTCCATGTATGGCTCTAACTAGTTAAAACACAAAGACACTGTCTCCYTCTAAATGATGCTTTTTAAATACATGCTTTTCATCTAAAAATGTATTCAAAGATTAAAACTGAGCTCTAAAGGAACAGGCTGCAATATGGCTGATTTGAAAGGCTAAAACTTTTCCCAACCATTTCAAGTATGAGAAAATCCAACAGCTCTCCATTTGTGATTCAAGCACTTGGTAAACACTCTCCACAACTGTACCATGGCTGTGTGCCAATGAAATGGTGAGTCAGCAGGCAGGGGAGGGAATCAAGTGTCAAGAATGCATTTAACCCTCACTCAGAGAACACTTTTCTTACCAACAGAATGAAAGCGCACCATAAAAATGCAAAACATTACTGGAATTTTTTCTCCACTAATAGCGGCAACTATCTCAATTTTCTTCCAACTTTATAGAATTTCTCAAATTTTAAATTAGGACGAATGCTTAAGAAAATAGCAAACAGCAAACTGATGAGAAAGAGGTTTGTGAACACATAATAATTCTTACTCTGACAAGAGCCCCAGTGATAACCCTGGCAAGGCTGAGTGCTGAAGGGTTTCATGAGAGCATTTCAATTGACAATATTTAATACTTGCACTGATAYAAAAAGGAGTACATTTTCCTAATGAAAATACAGTTCAACTCATCTGTCCTGTTCCCAAAGGAATATCGGTGCACGCTACTTTGCTTCACAGTGTTCTTGTGGAGTGGTTGATGAAATCATGAGATTCCCTAAATCATTTTTAAATTAACCCCTCTTAAAAAATTCCTCACTGAAGCATCACTGTGCATGATCACTCTAGGTACTCTATTCATGATGGAAAAAGAGTATTAAAAMGTGACGATTTAAAAAAATATATATTTGAAAGAGTACCCAATCTTCCACCTGAAGATTTGAACACTCATTTACAAGGCTGTTAAACACTGCCAAACCAGAATGACAGCATTTTATACCTACTTTCCTACTCACTCTTCACAGGTGTAAATAACCACGTTGGACACCTGTGGAGGAAGGGAAAGAAGGGGGAAAAAAGACTCCAGTTATAAAATATTTTTTATATTTTATATTTTTCTGCATTTTTATGCAGAAAGCATTAGCAGATACTGTTTAAAATMATTTCAGATACTCAGCACTAAATAAGTGGCTCACTTTCAAAAAMCCACCATGAAAAAACACTCCACAGAATGTCATATATTCCTTCAAAAAGGGGAGTTACATTTCMTTAGCATGGATGCTTAAGAGGAATAAGTCTCAGTATGGGGACTGTTTTCAGCAATAGTTGTTAATTAAGCAGTAAAGTACTAATAAAATGTTTAGGCAGGTTGCATTTAAATAGCAGTATAATGATATGTAATTACTAAAATAGAGTGCCAAAACCATTCTGCAATAGACCACATTCAGTTTTCTGCACTGTGCAAATCCATTTGAAAACAGAAAGGATTCCAATGTCCACTGCACAGTGGCCAGGGCACAGCAAACTGTGAAACCTATGCTCACAGTCACAGAGAAGGATCTTTTACTTAAAAACACACTCTAAGTTGCTCTCACAGAAGCTACAGAAATTGAAAGAAAATATTCTTAACACATACAGGAACAAATAAACACACAGTAGCAGTGAGGCCAGCAGCTCTTCTGGAGGGTCATGATGAAAAATGACCAGGAAAACAAGGAAGAGCCTGTGAGGAAGGACAATACCCACTGATCTCACCACGGGGGAC